AAAAAAAAAAAAAAAAAAAAAAAAAAAGAGCAGGGAGAAAGCAAAGAGCCAAAGGCTGGTTATTTTTCTTTTCTAATTTCCTGGAAAAAAGAACTGTGAATTATATTGTACAGAAGAGAGTATTCAAGAAAGCACAGACTTTGGAAACAGGTAGAGGTTGTAAAATCATGGTTGTAAATTTTTTTCTTTTGGTATCGGGGTTAAAACTTGGGTCCTTGCGCTTGCAAGGCAGGCGGCAAAACCGCTGAGCTAAATCCCCAGCCCTCATGGTTGTAATTTAACAGTTTAGACAAGTCTTAACATCTGTATTCTTCAGTTCCCACATTAATAAAATAGAAAAGTAAATCCAACAACTGACATTATTGTTACAAAGAATAAATATAAACAATATACACTAAATACCTAGCACAATATATAGTCTGCTAAAAAGCAGAGCACAAGTTACAGAGAAATAAAGTGCTAACTGCCAAATAGAGGTAAATGTGAAGAAAACACTATGTAGCCACAGATATTCCTCTAAATACTTCAGTGTATACCTCATCAGTGGATCCAAACTAAAAAGTTCAGAACTTGAGGGAATCACAAAGAACTTCCCCTGCCTTGCAAGCGCAAGGACCCAAGTTCAGTCCCCAGTACCAAAAAAAAAAAGGATGAAAGAACTTCCAATTTCTATTAGGTAAATTGAAAGAAAACATTCACCAAGCTAACCTAAAATAAATCAATTTGTTTTGCTAACACTGATTTTTATTTTTATATATTAAGACAGGGTCTCATTATGTAGTTCAGGCTGGGCTCAAATTCACAGTGATCTTACTGCCTCGGTCTTCCAAGTACTGGGTTTACAGGTGTGCACCACCATGCCTGGCAACATTGATTTTATCAAAAGCTTTGTAGCAAATATACTCATGATAAATGAAAGATGAAGAAATATTACATAAATTTACTCTGTATATAAAACCTAATAAAAATGGGATCCTTGGAGAAAAAAAGCATGCTTTTCTGCAGTCCATGAAAGTAGCTAGAGCCTATGCAGAGGGAAATAAGCTGATCTTACCAGATTATTTTCAAGCTGGCAGCTTGTCTCATATTGGCTTTAACTTACCTACTAAGGTAAAGTTGTTCTCCAAAAGCTCTCTATGAGTGTTAAACCAAGCCTGAGCAAGGCGACTATTTTTATTCTTCCCAATGATATAGTTCATGATATAGGCAAGCAGACCAGTCACCATCAAAATTTCTAGATAATAACTCTCCCAACTGTTCTGGAGGTGTGCAGGAACCTAAAAAGGTGAAATTATTCCATTTAATGTTGGCTAAGGCTGAACAATTAAGATGAAAAAATGAGAAAACCATAGATAGAAGTATAACTGTCAATGGATTATGATTTTGCTTTGAAAAATATGCTCATTTTAGTTTTCTAGGTGAGCACTATAAAAGATTCTTTAAGGAAATATAAAGACAGTCAAATGGGATGAAATGGTTTGGCAGCCTCTTTGTATTCAACTTGGTTCTGAGTCCCACCCTAAACTACATCTAATCTTTTTTCTTTTTTTTTGGTACCGGGGATGGAACTCAGGACCTTGTGCTTGCCAGGCAGGTGTGGTGTCACAGAGCTAAATCCCTGGCCCCACTTATTTCTTGGTAAGTAAAACTAGACCAACTAGAATAAAATATGAGAGTTGCTTCTCTAAGTATGAATATGTATTAGTAGAATCCTTCACCAGTTCCCACTATGGTATTACATCAAAACCACCCTCAGATGTCACTAATTGTATTCTAATTATATTTCTGAGAATAATGACAAGAAGATACTTCATTGGTTAATTTGGAATTCAGAATCCTAAATACCTACATCAACAATTGTTATTGGGTCCTTATTTTTGCTAGATGAAGTATCTGGTTTGTCTTCATAACCTTCAAATTCTTCATCATCATATGGCTCATTCTCAGTATCTCCCTCCTACAAAACATGAGGCACAATCTGTTTCCCTCTATAAATTACCAGCAATTGTCTCATTTTGTGGGCAACATTTGTAGAGGAAAACAGAATTTACAAGCAGCAAGCACAGAAAACACAGAGGTATTACATAAATTTAACAAAATATCAAAGAATCCATATTTTCAGTTTAAGATAAATTCTAGAGACCTAATTGTGCTGTGTATTTAATACTTGCTAGTAAATTAGATCTTAAGTATTCCCATTACACACATACAAATAGGAAACTGTGATGTGTTAAATGTTAATATAACATATTCACAATACACACACATATCAAGACACCGTATTTCCAATAATGAATGTCAGTATACTGTATACCTAAAATGTACCAATAAAATTAATGAGTGGAAAAAGACACCACATTTTACAACTTAAAAACATACAATGTTCATTTGTTACTTGTACCTCAAAAACTGAAAAGCACAAAAGTGATGATTCCTCATACTGCTGAATCCAAAGTTCTAAATGACAATTCTCACTCCCACACAGTAACTATTCTTCAGTCCCTCCCCCAGCAAGGGCTTCAATCCAAAAGAAAAATATAATTTATTTTATCAAAGTAAATTAAAGTATCATAGTATAAAGTATCATAAAAGGTGGGGAAATACCATAAAACATTTAGAAGAGCTCTACCTACTGAGGAAAAAAATGAAGATTCCAGAGAATAGTTTCCCTAGGCATGGGTCTGGGGAAAATGCTAGCTACAAATTTTGCCATCCTTTGAATTTCCCAGGAAATCAATAAAAAAGAGCCCCCACCTGGGTATCTGCATCTTCAAAATCTCCTTCTTGGTTTTCATCCTGCCCTTCCAACTCCACAGTGGTCTCATCTTCATCATCTTCAGTGGTTATCAACCGCTGAGGAGATTCAGTAACAGATTCTTCCATGACATCTTCAAATTCAGCAAAGTCATTATCATCATATTCTACTATGTCATCCTCATCTTCAAAGTCATCAAACTTGGCTTCAGAGACACTTCCAAACACCAAAAGGACAATACAGAAAGCATAGAAGGCTTTCATTTCACCTTAAAAATAAGCTTAAAAATTAGAGTCTTAAAGTGAACTGCCATCCTACATATATGATGACTAGATTTTGTAAACAGTTAAAAATAAAAATCTATAAACCCACCAAATGTAGTGTGCATGCCTGTAATCCCAGCACTTGGAAGACTTAGGCAGAAGGATCACTGAAAGTTCAAGGTCAGCATGGACTACATAGTACACATAGTGAATTCAAGGCCAGCCGGAACTACATAGGGAGACTCTGTCTCAAACAGCCCCCCAAATCTACCACCATCTTTTTAAAATATAACTTTTGTTACTTAGGGGTTCAATAATCACCAAAGGCTAACCAATTCCTATAAAGTAATACAAGAACTCTCTGACTTTTACTTTTTTTTTGGTACCGGGAATCAAACTCAGGACCTTGTGCTTGCAAGGCAGGCGGTGGAACCACTGAGCTAAATCCTCAGGCCTCTGACTTTTACTTTTTATAAAATGATCTTATTATATCAACTCTGCCTTCACTAAGCATATCACTATGGTAGATACTATTGCAAAAGGAGTAAAACATGATTCCTGACATAAATTTGCATTAGATTTTAGCTTAAAGATTATATGCTACAATATCACTTATATTAGTGAAATATTTGAAATTATTTGGTAATTTTATGTTTTTTATTTTGAGACAGGGTCTCACTAAATCCTTAAGTTATCAGTCTGGGCTTGAACTTGCGATTCCTCTGCCTCAGCCTCAGCCTTCCAGACTGCTTGGATTACAGGTCGGTGCCACAATGCCCAGGTTCATGTTTTTAGAAGGAAATGTACATTAAGAAAAATGTTTAGAAGTGCATACATCTATATATAAATACACAAACTTGATTCTTTCCCTGATTCTGGTCACAAACCAAGTTGGAGAAGAACAGAATCAAATTCAATGGTTAGATCTGATATTGACATTATGGGGAAATTTGATTTGGTTCTCAGTTTGCAACCAAAATCTTGGCGAGAACTCAGTTCATAAACCGAGGCAGCACTGTAGTATGTAATGTAGTGTGTTCAGTAGGACTATGGGTATTTTGTCTTCATTTTTCTTTATATTTTTCTAATTTTCCTATAATGTACTTTTGTAATTTAAAAGCACAGTTCCTGCGCTGGAGAAGAGGCACTGCTGACTGAAGAACAGTACAGCAAAGAAGCCTGAAATAGCATATTTCAATTTGCTAAAACACTGGGCTTGTAAACCCAAGTTGGGGAAAAGAAGCTAAAGGCCAGCAATGTCCAGACCATGGTAATTTTTATTTAAACACCCCTACAAAGTTCAAATAACTAGATACAACTAAAGTATTTTAAGCAGGAAAATGACACTATTAGATTTGCAATTTAATCTTAACAATTTATACATAGAATAAATCCAAAAGTACTTGAGGCAGGAAAAACAGTAAGAGCCTAAGATAACTGATAAAATAACTGGCAGTGGTGGAAATGAAGAGGAAAACTGATTAGACAGATATTTAAGAATTGTATCTGTCAACACAAAGTAAACACATAGGGAATACATGGGGATAGATCTGCAGTGATTCCAAGTTTTCTTTGTTTATTTTTGGAGACAGGGTCTGGCGATGCATTTTGGGCTGGCCTTGTACTCACTTTGTAGCCCAGGTGGGTGATCTTGGCTCAGCTTCCCAAGTACTGGGATTACAGGTGTGTGCCAGCATGCCTAGCTCCACATTTTGTTAAAATGAGTAACTGGAAAAGCCATTTTTAATCAAGACAACAATAAAGGAGGAAAAACTTAGGACAAAGGTAATAAATTAAGTTTGGTACTCATTAAAAATTTTGAGGCGTTTCAAGCAGTATACTAAAGGATTAAGATATCTCAATTTTCATAATGGGCCTAAAAGGTGTTATAACATTTTATATAGAGAAGAGGAAGTAGCTGGAAATACAAAATGTTTAGGAATCAGGCTTGAGGGGAAAGAGAGATGGTGTAGGCATAGACAAAATCATCCAGAAAATATTAAGAACTAGGTCAGAGAGAGAAAAATGAGAACCAAGCCCCAACAAATCTTGAAACAAATCTTAATGACCAAGACGTGGGCACATATCTCCTGTCTCCTGCAATAGCCACAAGAAAGGTACTCAATAAATATTAATTCCCTTTCTTCTGCTGTACCTTATGAACATCTTTAAGAGTTAAAAGCTTCTATTTCAGTGCTTCCCGTTCACAACCCAGGCTTACACTTTTTCAAGCAGAAGCAATCAAATGTTTACCCTAGATAGCCAATCTAGTTAACAGAGTGCCAAAAGGTTTGGAATTTCCCTTTGGAATGTTCATACCACAGAAGCATTTCTATTATAATTTAGCACTGTAACAAAGTTTTTTCAAGGTTATTTAGGTTAAAATTATCCAAGCACTTTGTGCACTGGCTTTCTCTTCCTTAAGTCTCTACTGCATCTATTAACCCATTTCTCATATGCACAACTCCTTGCCAGGTCACTCAACCTTTATGGTTCCTGAAGTCGGCAAAACGGAACCGAGGCAGGGCACAAGCACTAACAAGTCTGGTTTGACTTTTTTTTTTTTGCAAACTCACTCTGCAGTCTCTCAACAACTGACTCTGGACTTGAAAGAGAAGTGGAACAAACTTTCTTTGCTGTCAGTTCAGATTAGGCCTTTATGATATTAACCAAAACATGAGATTTCTAGAAATCAGGTAGATATTCCTGTTTCCCTAAAAATGTGGTGTCTTATGATAGAAACCTTCAGAGAAGGCTGACCACAGAAATAGGTGTTTCTGTCAAGCAACCCTTGTCTAGTCTCTCTCCACTATGGAGAATGCATTAATCCTAATGTCTACGTTCCATTTTTCCTGCTGCACCCTGGAAGTTTCCTCTAACTTTGTCTTTCCGGTTGGCATTTTCTCACAGCTCTGTAGAGATCCGCAAAAGCACTAAAATTACCCCATACCCCGTAAGACCAACAGTAAATGGGCTAGAAAAGGGTGGACAGAGGTTTCAAAAATGTTTCTAAAGTCAGGAGAGATGGTAAGTCGCGGGGATCGATGAACGTCATTAACGACTAGACTTAAGCGTTGGTCGGGTGAAAAACGAGACCCGGCTACAGGCCACAAAACTCCATCACCACTAGGCCTGGAGTTGCCCCACCGACTAACGTATCATGGCCCACTGCCAACCTGTACCTGAGGTCAAAATCCGGTCCGGCGCTCCTATAATGGATACTTCCAGCCTGCCTGCCTTTTACCCTGGCTACTGCTTTCACCTTCGCGGCGGTCTTACTGGCCGGGATGCCTGCACAACTCAGACAGCGCAAGTAGCTCAGGCCCGCTGCCCTACTCTTCACGTAGCCTTCACCATCCGTTACGTAGAATGCGTACGGCTCGTCCGCGCCTGCGCGCGACGAGGGGCGCGAGACGCAGCCTCCGGGACAGCGCGAGACTTCTTCCTCCCTCGCTCACCGGAGGCGAGGTGGGGATGCTGGGAAAATTACATAATCCCCGCCCCTGGACTAGAAGCGTCCTCCTGACAGACTTCTCCACTAGGGTTCCGCCAGGGTGACGTCACACTGAACTTGATCCGGAAGCTAAAGGTGGCCATGTTCTGTGGGACCATGTGGTCAGAGGCAAACGGAGAAATGTTGCCCAAGGGACCAGAGATAAGGGGATTGACACTTTTATGTAAATGTAATTTCGGGCCAACCTTTATTCTCTTGGGAGTTTTGGGCGGCTCCTGGTTACTGCCACTTTTTCCATTCCCAGATCCGCTTTCCATTGGGCCTTTTACACTTCACCCAGCAGCAGCTTCCGGTCGGTGCCTGAGGAGCCTGTGAAGGATTCCGGAGTTTTAAGGACAAGAGCTTGCGGCACCTTCCGGGAGCCGTAGCCCCCCCCCGGCCCCGCCCTTCGGCCCCGCCCTTCGGCCCGCACTCTCCTCAGTGCGCATGTCAGGTGTGCGTTCCCCTCCCTCCGTCAGCAACGGGCTGAGCGGCGGCGGCGGCGAAGGGGGCGGAGAGGGAGGAGCGCGGCGGGACGGGGTTTGGACCGCGCGCTTGTTTCTGGAGGTGGAATTCTTTCCGTGTCGGCGGTGGTAGCGGCTGCCGCTGCAACCATAGCAGCAGGTTTGTGTGAGAGGGGTCTGGAGGCGGCACCGCTAGCCTTTGGGGTCACTAGAGGTAACTGGGGCCTAGCGAGGGCCGAGGAACCGCAGCCCCTCTTTAACAAAGAGTCGGTGGAGCCTCCGAGCCCCGGGGCCCGGGAGGGATAGGAGTGCAGTCGGAGGCCGTGAGAGAGCCTTCTGAGCCGCGTCTCCCTCCCACGGCTCCCGCCTCTCCCAGTTCTCAGTGAGGCCCAGTTGGCGGCTTTTCGGAGGCGGCGCCTGCAGGGCTAGGGAAGGGATTTGCAGAGTGCGGGGCTCCAAGGCAGGAATAGCTGTGGGGAGGCTTCTGACCCAAGTGGGCAGCAGTTGGGAGATGAAAGCTCTCCAATAGGAGTTCCTGGTAGCAAAAGTTGACGGGTCAGAAAATTAGAAAAGTCAGTCAGTGGTCTTTGAAATTAGCATTACCAGAGACAAACTTTTGCGGCCTTTTAAGAGCTTATCTCATGTGAGTAAATAATTTATGTGGATTGCAAGCACACACCAAAAACATAAGGAAAAATTATCACACTAGTCAGTTTGGGAGATTCTATAGCTTGATCACTTTAGTGAGCATTTGCCTTTTGGCCTCTGCTCCTTTAGGCAGTTTCCTGTGGCTTCCTTCTATGGTATTTTTGTAAGTAATGTTTCTATATCTGTTTTTCCCTGTATTCATTCTCAGGAGCTCTGAGAGGGTAGGGCCTTTCTTAATTGAAAGTTTTTAGAGCTCAGCCCAGGTCTGGCAGTTAAGATGTGAACAGTAAATGTTTAGTACAAAAAATGTTTAGATTTTCAGCAGTGAAAAAAAGTGTTTTCCTGTACCCAGAAGGGGTAGCTCAATGATTAATTAATTTATTCAAGGATTATTTTTATTGGTGCCTCCTGTGCCTATTTCCTAGTCCCCTCCCCAAAGATATCAGTTATAGGTCTGTGAAACTATAGTAGGGGGAAGAGAGACAAAGTTGTATTATAGGGTATGTTAGAAGACAGTACCTTAGGACAAGTGCTTTAGGAAAGGAGGAATGCGGGTAGGTGTTGGAATTTTTAGTACAGTGGTCAGAGAAATTTATGACAAGCTGATATTTAAGCAGACTAGAAGGAGGTGAGGGAGTTGTAGAAGTATCTGGAGCAAGGAACAGCAGGCATAAAGGCCTTGAAGAGGACAAGGCTAGCCTGTTAGAGGACAGTGAGAAGACTAACGTGCTTGGAGCACTGAGCAAAGAAGGGAGTAGTAGGAGATAAGGTCAAGGAAAAAGGTGGAAAGGATGGGCAAAACAAACAGGGCCTTTTAGACCATTATAAAGATTTCATCTTTATTCTGCATAAGTTGGGAACCATCTGAGCAGAGGGGTGATAAGATTTAACTTACATTGTAATAATGTAGCATAATTCATGGAGGAGTGAAGTTCTTCAAATTGTGCTCCATCACAAGGATAGTTATAATTAGTCCTTAGTTTCATTAAAAGAGGGAAGGGGATGCTTCTAAAGTAACTATAACCCAACAGTTAGTTATTTTTGGTTTTAGCAAAATGTGATGAATCTTATTTTTTTATACAGATTCTCATTAAAGAACTATTCAGTAAGATATTCTTAGAACAGATTAGTTGGCAGAGGTGATGCTAATCATCTGTCTACTATAACTCAAAAATTCTCAGAAATTCAAGTGATCAAGTAATGTAGTTTACCTAACTAGTTTTTTAGTTCACTATTTATAAAATCATATCTTAGTTCCCATCTTATTTTTCACTGTTACTCAAAACACAAATCCAGGTACTTTGTTTTGTTTTTTGAAACAAACAGGGTCTTGCTATGTAGTTCAGGGTGGCCTTGAACTCACTATATAGCCTAGTCTGGCCTTGAACTCAGTGATCTTTCTGTTCTAGTAACCTTCCAAGTGCTGGGATTACAGGTGTGTGCCACCATGCCTGGCAGGCACATTCTTATGTTCCACTTTTATTCTCATCTCCTAGGCTTTGCTAGTTCTGTCTTTCCTCCCTAGAATAACTTCTTCCTTTACACATCTCTACCCAGCCTGAAGAACCTAGCATTGGCTTTAGCTCTTGAATGAAGCTTGGCTCCCATTTGGCAACTCATAGTGATCTCTGACATCTTGAATATCATGCAGCACTTAGGTATAATTCTCAGAGTTGAAAGAGATCTGATATTACCAATTTACCAGTGGAAAGTTCATTTCTGGAGAAATGATGATGTGAAACATAACATGTCAGCTACTGTGTATTGAGCACTTACTGCATGCCAGGTTTTGTATTTTTATATATGAACTCAGTAGGTAGTATTCTCAATATTGTACAGATGAAGAAGATGAGGCCCAGAGAATCTAAATAAATTCCTTGAGACACACATCAATTTTAAATCTTTTTTTTTTTTTTTTTTGGTTGAGACAGGGCCTTGTTATATAACTCAGGCTGGCCCCAGCTTCAAAATGATCCTCCTGCCTGAGCCTCCTGAGTGCTGGGATTACAAGTGTACACTACCATGCCTGGCTCAATTTTAAATCGCTTATATTTTCTAGAGTAGATTCTCATTTATAGTTCTGAATTATAAAATAATGGAATAATGGTAAAACAAAAAATAAAAAAAGAGCATAGATTCCTACTTCCTTTGACAGAGTGCCAGTAGGTTAGTACTGTGAAAGTAAAGAAAGTCACATCAAAGATGTAGCATTGATATGCTCTGCGAGAACCTCTTTCTCTAGGTTTTTTTATTTCATAACATATACCTTCCAAATAATACGTTTCTGATTTTGTCATTTCCTTCCGTTCAATATAGTAGCTTAGGCTGGAATGAGACCTTCCATTGTGGCAGTATTGCTTTACCATTTCTGTTGCCCAGAGTTTACCCACATGTACTTCAGTTTCCCAAGAAAACCAAGCACTCTGGTAAATGTTCTTCCCTCTGCTTCAATTCCCTCCCCACTGTCTCATATCTCTCCATGAAGGTCCTGTTTTCCAAAGCTCATCTGAAATACCGACTCTTAAAATGATGACTTTTCTAGAGAAATCAGAACTCTGATTTTCCAGACACCTGATACTGTAACTTCTCTTGGTACCGGTAATAGTACTGGGGATAGAACCCAGAGCTTTTGCACTAAAATACATCCCTAGCTCTTTTTATTTTGAAACAGAATCTCTTAAATTGCCCAGAATTTATGATCCTCCTGCCTTAGCCTCCCAAGTGCTGGGATTACAGGCACGCACCCCCCCCACCTTAATTATAACTATTTGAACTTACCTTGTAACTTCGATACATAGAGACAGTTCTTATTATGGAGTATTTGCTAGTTGTAGGTTCCAGTAAAACAGACATTTTTAAAGGATTTTGTTGAGGGGAGAGCATTGTACTGGGGGTTAAACTCAGCCTTTACACTGAGCTACATCCCCAGCCCTTTTTTACTTTGAGATGAGGTCTCACCAGGTTGCGCAGGCCAGGCTCAAACTTGGGATCCTCCTGCCTCAGCCTCCCAAAGTGCTGAGGTTATAGGCATGTACCATGATGCCTGGCTAAAGGAACATATCCCCCACCCCCACCCCGGTACCGGGGATCGAACTCGGGTCTTTACGCTTGTGCAGCAGGTGGTGAAACCACTGAGCTAAATCCCTGGCCCAGAAGGAACATTTTTAAAAGTAAAAAAAAAAAAATGTAGTTAAATTTTCACAAATATGTTTGCATTTCAGAGTAGACACTGCACCTCCATTAATTGGATAAAATAACAAAAACGCATGTGCAAATAGAGTTTCTAATTATTTAATTTTCATAATGGCTTTTTTTTTTTTTTTTATGGTGCTACTGGCATTTGAACCCAGGGTTTTCTCACTGAGCTACATCCTCAGCCCTGTTTTTTCCCTTTATTTTGAGACAAGGCCTCACTGAGTTACCCAGGCTGGGCTCCAGCTTTCGATCCTCCTGCTCACCCTCCCAGAGTACCGGGTTTGCAGACATGCGCCACCACACCCAGTTTATTTATTTTTAACTTTAAAATACACATTAAAAATGTTAACCATTTTAGAGCCGGGCATGGTGATGCACACCTATAATCCCAGCACTTGGAAGGGTGAGGCAAGAGGATTGCCAGGAGTTTGAGGCCAGCCTGGACTATATAGTGAGATGCTATTTTAAGAAAAAAGAGGGGCCCAGGATTTAGCTCAGTGGCACCACGCCTGCCTGGAAAGCACAAGGTCGAGTGAGTTTGATCCGAGGTACCAAAAAAAAGAAAATAACCATTTTGAGGTGTACAATTCAGTGGCATTAAATATATTCACATTGTTTTGCTACCATCACTACTATCCAGCCACAGAGCTATTTTCAGATTGGAAAACTGAAACTTC